TCCAGAGGGCTGAGGAAGGGTTGTTGAGGTGGTTCGGACATGTAGAGAGAATGGAGCGAAACAGAATGACTTCAAGAGTGTATCAGTCTGTAGTGGAAGGAAGGCGGGGTAGGGGTCGGCCTAGGAAGGGTTGGAGGGAGGGGTAAAGGGGGGTTTTGTGTCGAGGGTTTGGGACTTTTCCAGCAGGCATGCTTGAGCGTGTTTGATAGGAGTGAATGGAGACAAATGGTTTTTAATACTTGACGTGCTGTTGGAGTGTGAGCAAAGAAAACATTTATGAAGGGATTCAGGGAAACCGGCAGCCGGACTTGAGTCCGGGAAAGATGGGAAGTACAGTGCCTGCACTCTGAAGGAGGGTGTTAATGTTGCAGTTTAAAAACTGTAGTGTAAAGCACCCTTCTGGCAAAACAGTGATGGAGTGAATGATGGTGAAAGTTTTTCTTTTTCGGGCCACCCTGCCTTGGTGGGAATCGGCCGGTGTGATAATAAAAAAAAAAATAACATACATATATATATATATATATATATATATATATATATATATATATATATATATATATATATATATATATATATATATATATATATATATATATATATATACTATATACACACACACAACATATATATATATTATATAATATATATATATATATATATATATATATATATTAATATATATATATATACTATATACACACACACATATATATATATTAATATAATATATATATATATATATATATATATATATATATATATATGTCGTGCCGAATATGTAAAACTGGTCAATTAGCAAGAACTCATTTAAAATTAAGTCCTTTCTAAAATTTTCTCTTATACTTTTGAGATATATTTTTTTCATTAATGTTGATGTAAAAATTTATAATTTTGCACCAAAAGGAACTTAGAAAACTTACCTAACCTTATTATAACAAGAACAATTTATTTTAGCCTAACCCAACTAAATATATTTTAGATTTGTTTACAATAATTTAATACTAAACAAACACAGTGAAATATATTTTTTTCGTTAGGTTCAGAATGATTTTGGCGAAATTATTGCATACACAAATTTTCACTTGCCCTATATGGCAAGATGAGCGTTGCTATTTAAGCCAAGATGGCAAGTTCTGCCTATTCGGCACGACATATATATATATATGTCGTGCCGAATAGGCAGAACTTGCGATCTTGGCTTAAATAGCAACGCTCATCTTGCCATATAGGACAAGTGAAAATTTGTGTATGCAATAATTTCGTCAAAATCATTCCGAACCTAACGAAAAAAATATATTTCATTGTGTTTGCTTAGTACTAAATTATTGTAAACGTATTTAAAATATATTTAGTTGGGTTAGGCTAAAATAAATTGCTCTTGTTATAATAAGGTTAGGTAAGTTTTCTAAGATTCTTTTGGTGCAAAATTAGAAATTTTTACATTAACATTAATGAAAAAAATATATCTTTAAACTTATAAGATCAAATTTTAGAAAGGACTTAATTTTAAATGAGTTCTTGCTAATTGACCAGTTTTACATATTCGGCACGACATATATATATATATATATATATATATATATATATATATATATATATAATATATATATATATATATATATATATATTATATATATATATATATTATATATATATATATATAATATATATATGTCGTGCCGAATAGGCAGAACTTGCCATCTTGGCTTAAATAGCAACGCTCATCTTGCCATATAGGACAAGTGAAAATTTGTGTATGCAATAATTTCGCCAAAATCATTCTGAACCTAACGAAAAAAAATATATTTCACTGTGTTTGTTTAGTATTAAATTACTGTAAACAAATCTAAAATATATTTAGTTGGGTTAGGCTAAAATAAATTGTTCTTGTTATAATAAGGTTAGGTAAGTTTTCTAAGATTCTTTTGGTGCAAAATTAAATTTTTTTATATTAACATTAATGAAAAAATATATCTTTAAACGTATAAAAGAAAATTTCAGGAAGGATTTAATTTTAAATGAGTTCTTGCTAATTGACCAGTTTTACATATTCGGCACGACATATACATATATATATATATATATATATATATATATATATATATATATATATATATATATATATATATATATATATATATATATATATATATATATACATACATATATATATATAACTCAAAATAAACAATACAGAATTTATTAATGCCAGAAGCACATTTACTTGACTCTGTCGACCCTTGTGATTGTAGAACTTTACAGGTGCCAGTACTGTAGTAACATGTTACCAGTATTGTAGTAACTCCATTGTGACCAGTATTGTGGCAACTCCACTGTGACCAGTATTGTAGTAACTCCACTGTGACCAGTATTGTACCAATATAACTGTGGCCAGAATTTAATCCCACCATTAGGGGCGGCCATGGATGCAGCCGCGAGTGTATTAAATGCAAATTAAATATAGGTACTATAAAGGATGGGAAACCAGTGCAATATAGGGAACCGGGAGGGAGAACATATCTGTTAGCTACCAGTACTTGATACTGAGAATCATGACCCTGCGGCCAGGTACCAGACCCGGATCCACCAGCAGTAGTAAGCAAGACACAGTTGCTAAATATTTCTTTTTTTTTTATCGTCTCATCGTTTCGCTCTGGGTGGAGTTTTGTCGAATTATCTTTCACACTGTATGGAAAATTATCATTTCTCACTAGGTGAAAAAAACTTTATCGTGTTTCGCCTCTGTAGAGCGTTCTAGAGCGAAACGTGGTTCCATTAAAGTTTGATTCTGTCTGTAATACGTGTTTTTACATCTCTGTTGCGAGCTGGATGATTCAGATTGTTGGTGCTTGCTGCTTGCAAGTAAATATTCATGCAAACACTCGTGTTTACTGGTCTACCACTGTAGAACAAAGGGTCTTGCTCAGATTATCCCTTTTATTACTTAGTGGAACAATCTAAGTGTTAGTATTACGCTTTTAGAGATCAGTGAAGTGGTTCAGTATTGTTGTCATGCTTGTAGTTATTACTGAACCGGTCCAGAATAATCGTGCAGCAAATATTGCTATTTTATATATATATATATATATAATATATATATATATATATATATATATATATATATATAAATATATTATATATATATATATATATATATAATATATATATGTCGTGCCGAATATGTAAAACTGGTCAATTAGCAAGAACTCATTTAAAATTAAGTCTTTTCAGAAATTTTCTCTTATACGTTTAAAGATATATTTTTTCATTAAGGTTAATGTAATTTTTTTTTAATTTTGCACCAAAAGACTCTTAGAAAACTTACCTAAGCTTATTATTACAAGAACAATTTATTTTAGCCTATCCCAAATAAATATATTTTAGATTTGTTTACAATAATTTAGTACTAAACAATCCCAGTGAAATATATTTTTTTCGTTAGGTTCAGAATGATTTTGGCGATATTATTGCATACACAAATTTTCACTTGTCCTATATGGCAAGATGAGCGTTGCTATTTAAGCCAAGATCGCAAGTTCTGCCTATTCGGCACGACATATATATATATATATATATATATATATATATATATATATATATATTATATATATATATATATATATATAATATCGTGCTGAATCGATAAAACTTGCGATTATCGCTGAAATAGCAACGCTCTTCTTGCCGAATAAGGCAAGCGAAAATTTGTGTATACAATAATTTCGCAAAAATCATTCAGAACCTAACAATAAAAATATATTTCATTGCGTTTGTTTAATATTAAATTATTTAAACTTATCTAAAATATATTTAGTTGGATTAGGCTAAATTAAATTGTATATCATAAGAAATATGTTCTCTGGACCTGGTCCAGTATTACTGTACAGGGGTACAATACTACCTGGACCTGGTCCAGTACAGGGGTACAATACTACCTGGACCTGGTCCAGTACAGGGGTACAATACTACCTGGACCTGGTCCAGTACAGGGGTACAATACTACCTGGACCTGGTCCAGTACAGGGGTACAATACTACCTGGACCTGGTCCAGTACAGGGGTATAATACTACCTGGACCTGGTCCAGTACAGGGGTACAATACTACCTGGACCTGGTCCAGTACAGGGGAACAATACTACCTGGACCTGGTCCAGTACAGGGGTACAATACTACCTGGATCTGGTCCAGTACAGGGGTACAATACTACCTGGACCTGGTCCAGTACAGGGGTACAATACTACCTGGACCTGGTCCAGTACAGGGGTACAATACTATCTGGACCTGGTCCAGTACAGGGGTACAATACTACCTGGACCTGGTCCAGTACAGGGGTACAATACTACCTGGACCTGGTCCAGTACAGGGGTAACAATACTACCTGGACCTGGTCCAGTACAGGGGTACAATACTACCTGGACCTGGTCCAGTACAGGGGTACAATACTACCTGGACCTGGTCCAGTACAGGGGTACAATACTACCTGGACCTGGTCCAGTACAGGGGTACAATACTACCTGGACCTGGTCCAGTACAGGGGTACAATACTACCTGGACCTGGTCCAGTACAGGGGTACAATACTACCTGGACCTGGTCCAGTACAGGGGTACAATACTACCTGGACCTGGTCCAGTACAGGGGTACAATACTACCTGGACCTGGTCCAGTACAGGGGTACAATACTACCTGGACCTGGTCCAGTACAGGGGTACAATACTACCTGGACCTGGTCCAGTACAGGGGTACAATACTACCTGGACCTGGTCCAGTACAGGGGTACAATACTACCTGGACCTGGTCCAGTACAGGGGTACAATACTACCTGGACCTGGTCCAGTACAGGGGTACAATACTACCTGGACCGCACCCAGAACTCATTTCTCAGAAAAAAACAGCATAAAATTTTCAGTAGATTCAACTCAGGTGAAGATATCGGAGAAGAGATCAATCTCAGTCCACGTAAAGTATTCAGTGCCTGAAGTGAACTGAATTCTTAAACTACCTGACGAGAGGTCTCAGACCTGGAGTGGAAGATCTCAAACCAGGGCTGGAAGGTCTTAAACCCCACTTGGAAGGTCTCAGACCACTGTTACCAAGCGCCATTGGAAGCTTCTCAGGTTTCAGACCACTCTTGGAAATTCTCATATCATTGCTTTAATTAATTTTTGTTTCACGGTACTGTCATGTTTACAGACAACTTTAATATTAGAGTATATTTAAGAGCTTGTGGGAGGTGAGAGGTATTTTCAGTGTATGGTAAAATCAACAAATTCTCAACATTCTACAAGACAGAGCCTAATACCCAGTATAAGCTTCGAGAATTTGTTGATTTTACCATACAATGAATATCTCTCTCACCTCCCACAAGCTCTTAAATACTTTATTAACTTTAATACTTTAAACATAATAATACTCTGAAACAAAAATTAATGAAAAATTCTCTCAAGGAATCTGTAGGTTGCGTATGCTTCCTCCCTTGTAAAAGTCGTGACACCTTTCATTTAGGGCAAACTAGCAAATCTTTGAAACCAGAATTAAATAACATAAATTGTGCTTTGTTTATTCATATGAAGATTGGATTAATGCCAAAGAATTACTTCCCTGTAATTCTACAGTTCAGCGAAATACTGTGGAATCATCGCTTTATCATTCATGATGCTTGATATGAGATGAATTGTGTTCTGGAATGTATGAAAATGGCAGTTTTATAGTCCAGTATATCATCAGTAATATTAAAGGCAAAAATATTTTTCACAAAAAAATAGTGTTCTTTGTCAGGCTAACAATTTAACTTGATGTTGTACAAATGTATGGGAGGGTTAGGTCACCCATGAATGAGGTGTCACTTCAGGTTTTAACATATAATGTGCTTCTCTTGCCTCATTTTTCTATTCCTCTGAAAATATGTGTGTTAGCACATGAAAGAGATCAGGTCGTGCCGAATAGGTAAAAGTGGTTAATTAGCAAGAACTCATATTTTTTTCATTTACGTTAATGTAAAAATTAATAATTTTGTACCAAAAGAACGTTAGAAAACTTACGTAACCTTATTAAAACAAGCGCAATTTAATTTAATCTAATCCAACTAATTATATTTTAGATAAGTTTACAATAATTTAATAATAAACAAACACAATGATATATATTTTTTTTCGTTAGGTTAAGAATGACTTTTGCTAAATTATTACAAACACAAGTTTTCGCAACAAGATCACAGTAAACAGGTGATATCACAATATGCAGAACAACCACTGTGAAAAAAATATTCCCTTGATAATGTGTGATATCACGAAAGCGCTTGGAATTGCCTTATTTTTTTCAGTGTGTGTGTGTATATATATATATATATATATATATATATATATATATATATATATATATATATATATATATATATATATATATATATATATATATATCTTCTTCTTTCAACGTACCAGCCGTATCCCACTGAGGTGGGGTGGCCCAAAAGAAAAAACTAAAGTTTCTCCTTTTAAATTTAGTAATATATACAGGAGAAGGGGTTACTAGCCCCTTGCTCCCGGCATTTTAGTCGCCTCTTACGACACGCATGGCTTACAGAGGAAGAATTCTGTTCCACTTCCCCATGGAGATAAGAGGAAATAAACAAGAACAAGAATTAGAAAGAAAATAGAAGAAAACCCAGAGGGGTGTGTATATATATGCTTGTACATGTATGTGTAGTGTGACGTAAGTGTAAGTAGAAGTAGCAAGACTTACCTGTAATCTTGCATATTTATGAGACAGACAAAAGACACCAGCAATCCTACCATCATGTAAAACAATTACAGGCTTTCGTTTTACACTCACTTGGCAGGACGGTAGTACCTCCCTGGGCGGTTGCTGTCTACCAACCTACTACCTACAATATATATATATATATATATATATATATATATATATATATATATATATATATATATATATATATATATATATATATATATATATATATATATATATATATATATATGTCGTGCCGAATAGGCAGAACTTGCGATCTTGGCTTAAATAGCAACGCTCATCTTGCCATATAGGACAAGTGAAAATTTGTGTATGCAATAATTTCACCAAAATCATTATGAACCTAACGAAAAAAAATATATTTCACTGTGTTTGTTTAGTACTAAATTATTGTAAACGTACTTAAAATATATTTAGTTGGGTTAGGCTGAAGTAAATTGCTCTTGTTATAATAAGGTTAGGTAAGTTTTCTAAGATTCCTTTGGTGCAAAATTAAAATTTTTTACATTACCATTAATGAAAAATATATATCTTTAAACATATAAGAGAAAATTTCAGAAAGGACTTAATTTTAAATGAGTTCTTGCTAATTGACCAGTTTTACATATTCGGCACGACATATATATATATATATATATATATATATATATATATATATATATATATATATATATATATATATATATATATATATATATATATATATATACATATATATATATATATATATATATATATATATATATATATATAGTGTGTGTGTGTGTGTGTGTGTGTGTGTGTGTGTGTGTGTGTGTGTGTGTGTGTGTGTGTGTGTGTGTGTGTGTGTGTGTGTGTGTGTGTGTGAGTGTGTGTGTGTGTGTGCAAACTTGGTCAACAAATCCTTAACAAGAAAAGATGTAATTATTCTTTTCACAAACACAAAGAATATAAAAGCTCTTTACTTTTATCTATTACGTTGTACTTGCGCCTCTCCTGGAATGTTTTTCTTCAGGGTAGAGCGAGTCTGAGGGGAAGGTTTCCATTTGTAGTTTCAGTTTTTGAGGTTTATTGTTGGAAAAGTCTGTTACATAGTTTGCCGTTTGTGGCTTCTGTTGGGTGCTTCACCATTTGAAGGATCTGTTTTGTGGTTTCCTTTATAAAGTTTCTGTTGTGAGGTTCGCCGTTTATAGCTCCTGTTGTGTACCACACCTTGAGATACTACTCTATATTATTCACTGCCTGAGGCTTCTGTTGTGTGGTTGTTGCTTCCGTTGTGTGGTTCACCTTTTGCAGCAAATGTTTTCAGATTCACTCTTTGAGACTCCTTTTACAACACTCAAATTTAAGTTTCTGTTGTAGGTTTCACTGCTGGACGTTTCCATGTTGTGTCTCAGAATCTTCTGTTGCGTAGTTCTCTGTTGCAAACGTTCCCTCGTGAAGTTGAAGAGTGCATTTCCCTCTGACATTAGCTGAAGGGGCAACTCGTCAGAGCCCATTACCTTCTCTACCTTTTCACCTGAGGCACTGATGACCCCGTTACTAGCAGGTTAAAAGTCTAGTAAAATTAGAAAATAGTTGCTTAATATTATATGATTAAAGAGGCAAGATTACTAAGATTAGATTAGCTTGTAAAACTAGGAAGACTGGATAATTTTTTGAAAGTTAGAAAACACGAGATTAGGTAGGTTAGCAGGGATAGGAAGGTTAGTAGGGTTAGAGAAATCTCCAGTCAGCTATGATTCCCAGCTGATCGGACACCAGATGTCCTCGTAAATAAGTCATAAATAAAATATGTGTAGTGGCCCTAGTGGCCAACCATTCCAGAAATCTTATTTTTTACTGTTTTTTTTCCATCTCCCAGAGAGGAAAGATTGTGTCTGGAATATATCTGAGCGTAACTGATGTTTGGGTCGTTCTTTTACCACGGTGACGAACTCTGGGTCGTTCTCCCACCGTAGTGGTAATGAGTGATGCTGGTGAAGGGATCTTGATCAGAGGAACTGGACCTACTTTCCATTTCCTCGGATCAAACTTGATTGCCTCTCATTCCTCAGATGCTATACGACCCTTACGGGTTTAATGGTTCCCCATGAATACAACAACAAAAGCAGCAACAACAGTAACAATAACATTAGTAACAACAAGAGCAACAACAACAGCAACAAAAACTGTGACTTAAAGATGATGTTGATACCATCCACAGTCATTAAACTTTTTCTTTCAAAAACAAAAAACAAAAAAATCTGGGAGACAAAATTGATTTTGTTCAACTTTAAAAATCAATAGGTGAGATCACCTGAGGTTACAACTAAACACCTCTAGAGCCTTCGAAGTTTAATTAGCCAGGGTCGTTGGTGTAGTTAATGGTAGTTGAACTAATGAGGTTGGGAGAGATGAGGTCCCTCTGGTGCTGCCTTTATGGCTACACCTGCAGAGTCGTTGGCTCGTTAAACATCTACACAGTCCCTGGCTCGTTGAACATCTGCAAAGTCCTTGGCTCGTTGAACATCGGCAAAGTCCCTGGCTCGTTGACTATCTGCAAAGTCCCTGGCTCGTTGAACATCTGCACAGTCCTTGGCTTCTTGAGCATTTGCCCATTCTCGTTAAACATCCGCACAGTCTCTGGCTCGCTGAACAACAAGTGGCTCGTGGGCTAAGCCGTCCTGGGTGAGCTCAGATTATTTTAATTGGAATTATAATTATAACAATTAAAATTTCAAAATATCTGTTATATTTACTAGAGATGTAAACACTATATGTCACTCGTTCACCCGTCAAGAACACTGTGTATACTCTGTATACGAGTATAATTTTGCTTTTCTTCGGCAGGAGTTTACCAGACGTTGTTAGAAAGGAACTAGCAAACGTATTTGAAGAAAGTAGATCAGGAACAAGCAGATTCGTTTTCTATCATAAGGAAACGAGTCAAGGTGAGCAAATCTATGGAGACGGAGACAAGGTCAGAAGATTGCTAGACTGAGGATAGGTTATGAATATATCTGCCAGTACGGTTTTTGTGGAGATTTCAGCGACATGATCAAGATGATTAAGGTCCCAGGGCCGAAACATTTTCTAATAAATATGTCCTAGTGTTTGCTTACGTGTCTTTCTAAACCAACTTGTGGGTAGCTTTTACCAAGGTTTATACCGCATCACTGACATAAAATCCAGAGTATGTGGACAGTGACAGGGTCGCATACCGGACCGTTACAAACATCGAACTTGTCAGAGACACCTTCTTGAAACCCTACGGGATATGGCAAACCATATCATTCTTAATGGTAAGATATCCGAAATCTTGAGGCTGTATCTACATTTTGAATCGACTAGATAAATGAGCGGTTTTTATACACAATTATGACCAATTATGTTTAGTGGTAATAAGATACATTTTTTTT